CACGCTCCGTCTGGGGTCGGTGCTCCTGCTCCTCCCCCTCCCACCCCGGTCTTCGGCGCAGGCCGCCGCGCGCCTCCTCTCGTGGCCGTGGCCCGTGGAGCGCCAGCTACCGAGTCCTTCCGGCTAAGTCCCGCCGCGCAGCGGCCCAGGGTCACCGCCTGCAGCCTGAGATTAACCCCCAGAGCAGCAGGCGTTAAATCGCTCCGTTAGTGCGACCTGGGCAGGGCCCCTTGCTGGGGGAACGGGCAGAGGGAGGGGGGAGAGGCTGTGGAAGAGCTGGTGAGATTTGGGGAGGGGGAGGGGGGAATAAAAGGGAGAGGGAAAAACAACAGGAAAGAGGGGGAATAGAGGGAACAGGCGATGAAATGAGAACTCAAACCACAGGAATCAGGATCGGGAGGGGGGAGAGCGGGACAAACGGATTTAATACTGGCTGAGGAAGGGTTTTTTTTTCAGATTACTCATGGATTATGTAGTTGATTGTGTAGTTTCGGTTATGTGGCTATTTAGGCCAAGGAAGGATTTAGGACAGCAGTTAGGCAGACCCTGTGCAATAACAGCAGGCAGCAGAGACTGTATTAGCTGCTGAGGGCGAGGGAGGACTAGATGATCTATGTCCACTGGCCTCAAAGGCTACGCTGCAATGTGAGATCAGGGTTAGTGAGACCTGAGTCAGGTGACCTGTGAGGGGGAACCCTGGGCTTGAGCATCTATGTTGTACTTTAACCATTTGTTAAGACTTTTCTAACCCATGCTCAAAACTAGGGCTCTGGCATCCCCAGGGCGGTGACAGACCCGAGTCAAAATAACCACTCCTCTCTCCCAAAATGTGGCTGCTCTAGCCCTAGGACCATGGTGTACTATGGGACAACTTTACTGTCCAGCCTGCACTTACATTTTGCTTCACTCCCCACTGCAAACCCAGGAGGATGGCTGATAGTGTGCTTGCAGATGAGTGATTAGAAAAGGATGGGTTAACGCTGACCAGAACTGTTGGCTGTTTGCAAAGCATGGCTGACTTCCACCTTCAGTAGAGTGGATTGTAGATTGTTGAGCTAGAGCAGGGTTCTCAAACTGGGTCAGAACCCCAAAGTGGGTCAGGACCCTGTTTTAATGGGGTTCAGGACTGGTGTTAGACTTGCTGAGACCTGCGGCCAAAACCTGAGCACGACTGAGGCCAAAGATAAGCCAAGGGCTTCAGGCCTTGGGCTGTGGAGCTCAGATTAGAGGCCCCCTGCCTGGGGCTAAAGCCCTGAGGTTTGGTTTTGCTCCAACCCCTCCCCCCGTTGGTGGTGCTCAGGGGGGGTGAGGCTTCGGTCCCGCCTCGGGTCATGTAGTAATATTTGTTGTCAGAAGGGGGTCATGGTGCAATGAAGTTCAAAAGCCACTGAGCTAGAGAGAATTAAGGCAGTTGTCCTATGGAATTGTGGGATACTTCCAGCTGACTCCCAGGACCTGAATCAAGCAGGGCTGCAGCTACACTGCAGAGCAATAGAGCTCAGACCCTGGGTCCCAGTTTAACTCAAGCTCAGACCCTCCAGCTCTGCAGGGTCCTGGGACATTGGATCTGAAGCCTGGGTTAGCACAAATTGCAGTGTAGATGCAAAGGGGGTTAGGCTTGAGCCTGGGTGTACATTACAGTATAGACATACCCAAAGAGTATGTCTCCAAACCCTCCTGAAGTAAGCCTCCCAGCCCAGTCAAGAGACTCAAGCTAGCTGTGTAGATGAGGCTGTGAAGCTTACCCACCCTTCCTGTGCTTCAGAAACCAAGCTGTAATTTCAAAGTGCTGTTCTCAGAGCTATTTCTAGAGTGCCCGTGTGAACCCTGTTAGCCTGACTTAAGCTATGAGGCTCACTTCCTTGGTCTGAGTAGACATACCTAATAAAGTATACAGATTTCTGTCTCAGTTGCAAGGAGCACTAGAACAGACTAATGGATCAGTTTAGTCTGATAGCCCAGCTACAACGGTGTTACCAGATTTGCCTGTTACTTTGGGGTATGCTCATTTATTAGGGTTATTCTTGGGATGGGGTTCTGTACTTCTATCGATGTACTACTTGTGTTCTCATAGAGCTCTATTTCTCCCTGCTGCAAGTTCCCTCCCAATGGCGCTATCCTGCAGGAGCTAGGTTCCCCAAGGCTGGGTTCTTCCAGCCCCAGAATCAGATGAACACACACACATTAATAGCGCGTGTCTGAAAGGACCGGGTTAATCAGCACTCCCAAGCTGACCCCTGCTATGTCCCTGGACTCAGCAGGCGGGGTCAAGCAGCATTTCCAAGCTGTCACCCTCACAGGCCCTTGGATTCAGCAGGCGGGGTCGAACAGCATCTCCAAGCTCTCACCCTCATATGCCACAGCACCGTACTGGAATAGAGTGCGCCTGAGCAGGCTGGGGGGAGCAGCGCTTTCAATCTGGCACCCTCATATGCCCCTGAACTCAGCAGACTGGGTCGAGCAGCACTTCCAAGCTGCCACCCTCATATGTACCAGGTTCAGCACGTCCCTATCCCCACTTTCACGTTACAGTTGTTCTGGTAGTAACCCACTTGAGTAAACCCTACAGGATTTTTGGGTGCTGCAGGGACCTTTAGTTAGATACAAGGAGCGTTGCTGCAGAGTGAATGAGGAAGCCAAAAAACACCCAGGGGAGGGGAGGGAGGGAAGAGAGAGAGAAGCAACCAGCTTAACCATGAAAGTTATTTATTGCCAGGTAATAACCACAGGGGAGCCAAACAATTATAGTATTAAATATAACTTAAATTTGATTATAAAAGTCAGGTTTAGAAATAACTGATCACACAAGTCATGGTCAGAAGGTTATACCTAGAGAGAGAGAGCTGGGTTCTCATCATTCCCTGACACTTGAATCGATTAGGGGTCCCAGATGGTAATGGTAGCTGAGGGTCTGGAGTGCAGGAGACAGGCAGAGCCCCCAGCATGATCAGTCAGCAGAAGATGAAGTCCCAATGGAACAGATTCAAATTTTGGATCCAGGCATCAGAACACTTACTTGAGCATGGGTTTGGAAAACAACAATGGTTTAAGGGAGAACACTAGATTTGTTTATGGGTAAACTGATGGCTCAAGGAAGTATACCAAAGTTGTTTTGTTCAGGCTAGACAATAGGAACTGGTCATTCCTGGCTATGGGCCGTATTCCTTGGAGGGAGCTCACAATGAAATTAGGGGGCTTCAGTATTTTGGATACCAAGAAAGGATTTATTACTAGAATTGGTCTAATAACCACTGAGTTGGGTGTGTGCAGGCATGGGTTCATTAACATCTGGAGCAGAAATCCCCCATCAGGCAGTGCTTCCGTAGTCCCAGAGTTCCATGTGGTTCTTGCCTTGGAATCTCTGTTCTCCATCCTGTATGCTAATGGAGATGCCTCCCTGTCCCATCTTTGATGCAAATGAGGCTAGGGGAGTTTCCTTAATCCTTGTTCCAGGAGTTCAGGTTTGTCTCCCACTACCTTTTCATTGTTTTTTGTAAGTCTTTCTTCTGATCGGCTTTGGTTCAAGAAGAGGCTGCGGGGGGAGGTCTTTCGTGAGTCAGACAGGCTAAATACTGCGCCCTGGTTCCCCAAGAACACTATGCTGACAGGTAACAACAGTGGCTCATGCCAGATGCTCAAAAGGAAGGTTTGAAACATACTATCCATCTAATTGTGCAATAGCATACCATGGGGAAGATTTTTTCCCTACACCAGCTGGTTTTTATCCTCCCAGATGCTGTTTTCATTCACAAATGCCTAAATCTTCCTCGCCCCCATCCTCTCCTTTTTTTACATTTACTAAGCTCTTTCATACAGTTATTCTTTAGTTATTATTCTTTGGTTATTCTTTAGCCATGAATGCCACAGAGTATACATTGCCTTAAAAAAAACTTGTATCCATTTTATATTTGCTACCTTTTAATTTCACTGAATGTTCCCTTGTCCTTGTATTAAGGGACAAATAAATGGGAGCCTTCACATTTTATGAAATTCTATTGTATTCTCTCACTCTTCTCAAACTTAACAGTCCTAGCCCTTTAGAATCATAGAATCTAAGGGTTGGAAGGGACCCCAGAAGGTCATCTAGTCCAACCCCCTGCTCGAAGCAGGACCAATTCCCAGTTAAATCATCCCAGCCAGGGCTTTGTCAAGCCTGACCTTAAAAACCTCTAAGGAAGGAGATTCTACCACCTCCCTAGGTAACGCATTCCAGTGTTTCACCACCCTCTTAGTGAAAAAGTTTTTCCTAATATCCAATCTAAACCTCCCCCACTGCAGCTTGAGACCATTACTCCTCGTTCTGTCATCTGATACCATTGAGAACAGTCTAGAGCCATCCTCTTTGGAACCCCCTTTCAGGTAGTTGAAAGCAGCTATCAAATCCCCCCTCATTCTTCTCTTCTGCAGGCTAAACAATCCCAGCTCCCTCAGCCTCTCCTCATAACTCATGTGTTCCAGACCCCTAATCATTTTTGTTGCCCTTCGCTGGACTCTCTCCAATTTATCCACATCCTTCTTGAAGTGTGGGGCCCAAAACTGGACACAGTACTCCAGATGAGGCCTCACCAATGTCGAATAGAGGGGAACGATCACGTCCCTCGATCTGCTGGCTATGCCCCTACTTATACATCCCAAAATGCCATTGGCCTTCTTTAAATCTCTTCTCATATGGAAAGCTCCTCTGATTCTTCATTGCCTTGCTTTAAACATTTTCTGTTTGTGTTGCCTTTGTTCAGATATGGTGACATATCATTCATGTATAAAATTACATGAGGCAGAATTCAGCACATCCTATACCTCTCCAAAAAACTGAATCTCCCATTCCACAGAAATAAAACCTCCTCATATAGGACTATTGTATCTCTTCTTTATATAATATTTTATGAAGTACTCCAGGGATGAATTCCTGGCCCTCTGAAGTTAATGTGAATTTTGCCACTGACCTCAATGAGGCCAGGATTTTGCCCCACCTGAAATACATTCAAGAACAAAAGATGGGACAATAGGGAGAAAAGAGGTTTTATATAATATGGAAATACTGTTGACAGTAACAAGTGAAACAATAACAGTAATATACAATATGGAAAGAGGTTTTATGTAATATGGAAACATTAACATAGTAATAAAAGTAATTATCATTGCGAGCAATTATGTAGTGCTTTATATGTTAAAAGCATTTTACTAGCAGTAACTAGTTAAAGAAGGAACAAAAGTATTGCATTACCAAAAGGACTAGAAAACTGGAAACAGTCTCTGGCTTCCATGGGAACCCAAAATGTGAAATGGGTATAGCTAGGACATCCAAAAGCTTCTTTTGTTTAAATTAGAAGGTTACATTATTGTCTAGGTTTTGTTAGTCTCCCGCTCTACATGCTAAAGGTGTTTCAATGAGAAGAGACATATTCTAGAGATGCTGCCAGGGAGGAAAAGATGGATAGCACTCACTGTGAAAGTGTTTATGTATCCATCCTCTTTGAGAGCAGCTACTTCACTTTGATTTCAGTGTGTCTCCTGATTTTTGCTTATGGAGGTAAGAGTCCTTTAAACTGAATACAGTAGAACCTCACAGTTACGAACACCTTGGGAATGGAGTTTGTTTGTAATTCTGAACAAAACATTATGGTAGTTCTTTCAAAAGTTTACAACTGAACATTGACTTAGTAAAGCTTCAAAGATGTATTATGCAGAAGAAAAATGCTGCTTTCCCTTTTTTTAGTAGTTTACGTTTAACACAGTACAGTACTTGCTTCCCGCACCCGCTGCCTCCTGATTGTGTACTTCTGGTTCCAAATGAGATGTGTTGTTGACTGGTCAGTTCAGAACTCTTAAGTCCTACCGTAAATCTCTTGGAAAGAGGAAGAAAAACAGACAGAGCTCCCATCTTTAAGATCAAAGAAAGGGAATAACCCAAATCCCGTGTCTAAAATCTGGTGACATTACTGATTTATGTTCAGTGAGAGTCACCAAAAACAGATTACTTTGCCATCCACAGTTCAAGAAGAGATGACATCCCCAGGACTGCTTACAATTTGTAGTAAACTGAAGGTGTGGCTGAGAACCAATCTGGAAATTATTTTAACCTTCTTGTATGTAAATAAAATAAGATAAAAATCTAAAAAAATCTCCCTTTCTATTCTACTACAAATCCCCACTCCCTATCCCCAAATTATCCAGCACCCAACACCCCATCCCTCACATCCACATTACACCTCCTCCACACAATCTATAAAACAACCCACTCCACTAGCACTCAGCTCCCCACAATTCACTCATTCATTCCAGAATACCCCAATTTTCTAGCATCAACCACCTCTCTTTGATATCAGAATGATCAGTCCAACAGCCAGCTCTCTTCCACTCTTGTTTCTCCACACTCATGCCCAGTTCAATTCCCCTCCTCTGCTTGAAGGGAAGAAGGTATTTGAACAGGGATCTCCTATCTCTGAGGAAAAGGCCCAAACCACTGGGCTATGGGATATTCTGATTAGGGGTGTAAATATTGTTTAAAAAGTTAACCGTTAAAATGATTGAAATATCATTTAATCGGTTAACCAATTATAGGGAGAGGGGCCGCTCCGGCCGGGCTGGGGCCTCTCTGGCTGGCCCGGGGCTGCAGCTGGGGGTAACGGTTAGGGTGGGTTAACCGGTAAGACTAGTGCTTACCAGTTAACAGTTTAATATTTTACATCCCTAACTCTGATGTGGGGTGTCCTCAATCTCTCATGTTGAAGCTGTTCCACTTGTTCCTGGGTAAGTGTTTTAACCACTAGGCTAAAAGTTATAGGGGAGGAGGCTTCTCCTACTCCATCAGGATTTTGAATGTAGCCCGAATCTGCTAGGTCTGCTCAGAATATGCCTACTGGCATGGGCTCTGCAGGCAAGGTAGGAGGATCACCCAACTTCCCCTGCTCCGAGCATCACGCTGGTGTTTAGGTGTCCAAATGCTTCCAGTGAGGTGGCAGGGTGCATACCCAGAGGCCGACACTTATGTGACTAGGAGATGGCTACAGTGAAAATTTAGGTGCCAAATGAATTAGGTGCCTGTAGAGTTAAGCAGCAGCTTACTGGGGGGGACGGCGGCGGCGTGCGTGGTTTGCAGCAGTGCCGAAAACTGAAACTTAGACTCCTTTCTGAATCTGGGCCTCACTCCTTTTTATATACCCCAAATAACCAATGTCTGCTACTGCTTTCTGTTCCATATTGCCACTCTAATCCTATACTACAGGGGTGGCCAAACTTACTTTGACCCTCTGAGCCACATTTGACAATCTTCAGAAGTTTGAGAGCTGCTGGGGCTCTGGGCTTCAGCCCCATGGGAGGCACCTTACAGGGTCTTGGGGCTTCAACCCCACTTCTGCTAAAGCCCTAAGCCCAGCAGGCATGCCCCACAGGGCTGAAGCCCTGAGACCCCCTCCCCTCTGGGCAGAAGGCCATACCCCACCATCCCGCTGAAAGGCAGAGGTATCAAGCTCCCCCCCAGTCTGGTCGATGGAGAATGCGGGGAGGGGGATCTGCGAGCTGCAATTTAATTGTAAAAGAGCCGCATGCAGTTCACGAGCCATGGTTTGGACACCCCTGCTATACTAGATGTGAACGCAAACTGAGACTTTTCCTACACGCAATACATTTATAGGGTTTCTTTCCTGTGTGGACTCTCAAATGCACTTTAAGTGCTGAGCTCTGTCTGAAGTTTTTTCCACATTCACTACATTTATAGGGTTTTGCTCCTGTGTGGATTCGCGAATGCGCATCAAGGGCTGAGCTTTGTCTGAAGGTTCTCCCACATTCATCACATGTATATGGTCTCTCTCCTCTGTGGATTCTCAGATGCACATTAAGTGCGGAGCTCCGTCTAAAGCTTTCTCCACATTCAGCACACTTGTAAGGTTTTCCTTGTGTGTGGACACTCTGATGTGAAATAAGTGCGGCGCGATCACTCCGGGTTTTCCCACATTCAGAACATCGATAGGGATTTTCTCCTGTATGGATTCGGTGATGAGTCGCAAGTGCCGAGCTCTGACTGAAGCTTTTATCACACACTGAGCATTTGTAGGGCTTTTCTCCTGTGTGCGTTCTTCTGTGGGTAATAAGCGATGAGCTCTGTCGGAAGCTCTTTCCACAATCACCACATTTGTATGGTTTCTCTCCCGTGTGGATTCGCTGGTGTCGGATGATGGCGGAGCTGTCACGGAACCTTTTCCCACATTCTTTACATTGACGGGGTTTCTCCCCTGTGTGGATTCTTCTGTGTATAATAAGCGATGAGCAATCACTGAAGCTTTTCTCACATCTAGTACAATGGTAGGGCTTCTCGCCCTTGTGGCTTCTTTGGTGTACAATGAGGTGCGAATTCTGACTGAAGCTCTTCCCGCATTCTTTACATTTATAGTGTTTTTCACCCGTGTGGGTTCTCTGGTGTCTGATAACATTTGACCGCTGACTGAAGGTTTTCTCACACTCATTGCATTGATAAGGCTTCTCTCCTGTGTGGATTCGCTGGTGTTTAACCAGGTCTGAATTCCGAATGAAGCTTTTCAAACATTCACCACAACCAAAGGGTTTCTCTGCCACATGGATTCTCTGATGCTGAGTAAGATAGGAGTTTCGACTGAAGCTTTTCCCACATTCAGAACACTGATAGGGTTTCTCTTCCACGTGCACTGTCTCTTGCTCAACAAGGCCTGGGCTCAAAACAGAGTCATTCTCACGGTCGGATGTGTTTGGTTTATCTTCAGTGTGATCATCATCTTCAGGTTGTCTGACACTTACTTCTTGGGAAGGGGATTTTCTCTGTCTCTTCCCAGGAGATTTTCTGATTTCATTTTCTGACTCCTCCGGACTCTCACAAGCTTCTGTTTGGTCAGGAGTCTGGGAAATATTCCCTCTAAATCTTCTTGACAATGCGCTACGTGTTTTCATTTTCCCAGGACCTTCCTGAAGACGAATGCCCTTCTTAAGTTTACTCACGACTCTGGCACTTGCTGGAATAGAAAGAGAAATGAGACATGAATAATTCCCTGTGCTTGTGAGAGAGAGGAAGCCTAAAAAAAACAAAAAGAAAAAGAAAACCCCCACAAATAAACCACACTTCCTAACATTTTAATCCCAAAGCCCAAGTCCCCCAGTACATGTGCAGGAAGTGGAATGAGAAACACAAAGGGAGTGAGGTGAAACTGGCAAGAGAATGGGTGTGCAGTGTATTTTTGAAGGGTATTCTATTGAAACACTTGCTCAGCAACACATGCTTTAGGTTCCTCCACACTACAAAGTGGGCAGGTAGGAGCACAGCCCAGAGCACAACGTATGTTGTTTTACTCCATACCCCAAGCTGAGCACAGGTTCAACACACTCATGAGGCCATGTTTAAGGGTTTGTGTGTGGCTCTGGGCAATGACATGGATCACATGTCCCTAGCCTACAGTATGGACTTTGACCCCTTGAGTACGTCTATCACTTGCCTTTCCTCAGAAAATCCTGCTCTTGACAGATTTTGCAAGGGGGCAGGGGAGGAACGTGGTAACCTTGGTTCCCCCTTCAGAAATTCCCACTGTAACCACTCCTCTCCCCACTAGCTTCATTCCCTGTAAGTCATCAAGTGTTCCTCCTCTTTCAGTCCTCTTCTGCTTATCTGGTAGAGAACCAAAGGGTTCTAATGGGCTTTTTTCCTCTGTGTAGACCATCCCTCTTCCCTCACTTCAGGGGCTAGACCTTTTTTCCAAATTAAAATAATCCAAGCCCCATGCATTCTGTAACAAGCTGGACCTAAATTTTGCCTGCAACACTGGCACAGCAGATTGGAAATTCTGTAGCAGCTTCATGTAAAAAGCCACCGGTTATTTTATGAATTAATTATGAAAATGTATAATACAATTAGTACAATAGCCCCTTTATCATTTACATTGATTTAATGTTCCTCACCTGGGAAGAAACTTTGGAATGTGGAACAAATGCATTAACTGGTTGTTTCTGCTTAAACAAGTAGCAATGGAATAGTTAACATTTTTCACATTTAATTTGTCATTCAAATTGTCAGTGTTAACAATTTGAGATGAGTGAGGCAGTTCAAACCCCTCAGCTATTGTTTCATGCTGTCTGCAGACTTAGGAAGACAATGCTGAATTGACTATATTAATTTTCAAGGTTTTCTTTATGACCACCAGGGATAGGAACATTTAAAATGAAAGTTGAGATTCTGGTGCACAGTTCTGAAGCAAGGAATGGATCCCAAGGCTGCATAAGAAAGACATAAGAAAAAGAAAACACTGGTGGAGTGAAAAACACCACACAATTTGGTTATTTCCTCTTTCCAACATTCTGGAGTATTAACATTACAAAAATGCATGGAATGTAATTTAATTTTCGAGACTGATTCTTTCTGAATGGGTGGACGAATCCCAAAATTGTGGCATTGGGATGGGATCCACAAAGGTACTTAAGTCCCATTTTCAGATGCCACTGTGATCTGCAAAACTCCCACTTGGCTGCTGTCCAACCCTATAGGCACCTAAACTTGCTCGGCACTTCAGTTGCACTTGATAGGCAAGTAGGAGAGCACCTGCACTGTTGCCCTACACTAGGCATCCGGATGCCCATCTTCCACCTGAGTCCCAGAATGATCCATTATCCAGGGAAAATAAGCATTCAACTGCCTAAGTCATCTGTGGAAGCCTGATCCAGTAAGCATGCTCAGGTTGCCTAACATCACACAAAGCATCTGCACACACACCCCGCATTATAACCTTTAGCCCAGTGATCAGTGCACTCACCCAGGATGTGGGAAACCATCAGTTCAAGTCCTCCCTCTGCCTGATGAGAAGGGATTTGAACAGGTGTCTGTCAGATGAGTGCCCTAACCACCGTTTCAGGATAGTCTAATGTGTGTCTCTTTCAATCTCTTCTACTGAAGTTTTTCCACTTTAATTAAATAACTGAATAATTAAATATGAATTTGGCCAGAAAAAGATTAGTGAAAGTACAATAACTAAATAGTGCATGCAGGTGCTTATAATAAATCGCACAACAACAAGCCAGTATGGGCAACTCAGCACTCCTTAAGCCAAACAAGCCAGTGCACAGCCCCTGGATTCATGGAAGGCTCTACAATAATATAGCCCCAGCAGTCATAAAAGAAAGATAAAGAGATGTAGAGAGGGAGGAAATAAAGGAGAGAAAAGGTAAAATGGTGCATTGGCAACAGGGAGAGGAGACAGAGTTTGTGATGTCACCGAGTTTGTGATGTCATCAAGTTGCTATTGGGAACTGGTCTGCAGCAATAACCCTGCTCAGAAAGTTCCCCGCCTTCTCCTCCTGACCCACCTCAGGTAAAAGCAGCAACAGGAAAAGGAACAAAGTGAGGGATAGGCAAGGAACCCAGAACTCCCTCCATGGTCTTTAACACCTCCCATAGTTCAACCTTCAAACTTCCTCCCATCCCCACCCACATACAATCCAAGAAAGATGAGGTGTCATATAGCAGCATGGGCCTTCCTGATTGTTTCTGGTGAGTAGGGAAACTTCTCATCATCCCTGACACTGACTTGTGATAGGGGACAGGAGAGTCCCCTGTTCCCCAGCCTCGCTCATTGCAAATCAGGAGCCTCAGCACCTCAGAACTAGGAAGGAGGGGACGGGTTTACATATCAGTGACTGTAATTATCCATATCTAAATCTTGGCTGCACAGAGCATTGCCTCCTGGAGTCCTTTTCTTCCAAATGCTTTAACCTGACAATTTGTTGACTTTGAACACACACCTTACAGCAGGGGTCTCAAACACGCGGCCCACGGAGTTATTTGCTGCAGCCCGCCAAGCTCCCCGCACCCCCCCGGAGTTATTTCCTGCAGCCACCAAGCTCCCCTCCCCCGCAGCACGCCGTGTCCCTGATCCTCTGTCTACCTCCTGGTGCTTCCTGCGGCCAGTGGCGCTTAGTGCTTTCCAGGAGGGAAGGGGGAGGAGCAGGGACCCACACGCTCAGGGGAGAAGGCGGAGAAGAGGTGGGGATTTGGGGAAGGGGTTGGAATGGGGGCAGAGAAGGGGTGGGGCCTTATGGAAGGGGTGGGGGCGGGGCGAAGGGTGTCAGTGATGCAGTCCTCGGGCCAATGTACTAGTCCTCATATGGCCCTTGTGGTGATTTGAGTTTGAGATCCCTGCCTTATAGCCACAACTAGAGAAACACCCGACACCTGGCTTTTTTTCCCCAGTCTGCCACATTAACCAACACTGAAAGGACCAGGGTCAGAGAGAAAAACGTTACCAGTTCTCCTGTATAAAAGAACTGAACTCTACGCAGTAGCCTGGAAGCAGACCAGAGAGTTGAAAAGATTTAGCCACAGCAATCAGTCAGAACAGTATCCTACAACAGAAGAAAAAGAACTGCAGGTGGCTGAACTACAGATTACAGGCAGGGCCTGACGCTTCCCATTACAAGACCCTGCTTCCAGTTACTTATAACTTTGCCAGACTTTAATGGTTTCAGCCGAAATGTTCCATACTGGGTGCCTGCCTCAGCCTGAACTTATTTATTTATTTATTTCCGCCAAAGTGGTTCAGCCATTTCTGAGAACAGACGTAAGGGAACAACACATGTTCTGGTAACCTTTTCATTGGAAAGCTCTAGTGCTCCTGTGCTTTGGAGCGCAGTCTTGAAATTGGCAGGGTGCTAACCTTTGTGTCAGGGATGTACTTTTGCCATCCCTGTGAAAACATAGGCACGGGAACTGGGGGTGCTGCAGCACCCCTGGGGTCCTGGCTGACGACCTCAGCTTGGGGGTCCAGTGGACGGGGCAAGGGGGCTGGCTTTCCGCACCCCCACTATTAAAAATGTTCCAGCGCTACTGTGTGATAACCCACTCAAATATGGCCAAGCTAAAAACCCCTGAAAAAATCTGTTCACACAGGCTTGGCAGAGACTTCCTGGATTTCAGCAACTAAAATCTCCAAAGATTGTGTCTTCACAGAACACGCTCAAGCCTCTCACAGCTCTTAGTGCTAACCACATGCTATACGCACTATCCCCACTGAGCACGCGTCATCCCCTCCCAGCTCCTACGCATGAGCTGGCTGCACATGTGCCATCACCACAGGGGGACTGAATATGCTCCCTCCAGCCCAGGTCAACAAGGGTAAAGCCAAATGTTCCTTGGAATGGCTGCTCCCAGCTATGGTGCAGGCTAGGGTGAGGCGGAGCACTGGAACTGAGTGTAAGGAGCCTGTCTCTCCTGTGTTGTCAATGACACACGCCTGCTGGTGTCCAGGCCGTGCAGAAGATGAAGTCGTCTGATTAGAATGCCGAGTGGACAAAGGTCAGACCACAGGAAAGGGAAAGGAGTAGTCTGGGACAAAGAGTCTAGTGAGACAGTCTGGAGGCAGCAAGAAGATAAACGGGATTGCTCGAGCAAAGAGACCAGGACTGGGAGGAGGCTGGGACTAATGGGGCAAGGAGACAGGGACTGGAAGCAGTACAGGGAAACAAGGGGAGGACCAGGAGCTAGTTGGCTCGGAGAAGATGGGGAACACAGAGTTCAGAAGAACCACGGAGAGGGGTAGATTGGACTGCCTGGGACTAGGTGCAGGGCATGGGAGAGGCGTAGGAGATACTAGCTGGGGAGACCGGGATTCGACAGCGAGCCCAGATGAGGAGACTAGGAAAACCTTAATAATGTTCTTTAAAAGCAGTCTGTGTG